TGGTATGAGCCTGGAAGAGGCAATGCGGAAGTAGAGAACAAGAGAAGAATGGAAAAAATTACTGTGGGAGCATCTAGATGGGCTCCCTAACTTCCGTCTGTGGAAGATCAGACCAAAGAAGAAGATAGAATTATATGTCCAAATGCAGCAAGAACGGTAAGAAATGGTTGAATCAAACCGTGATTGAAATTTAAAAGTAAATTGATAAATAATAATAATAATAATAATAATATAATAAAAAGAATCCACCTTGGGAAAGACGGCTGGTAAATCGTATAGAACGCACTAGCAAAGATATTGGAGACACACACAATTTAAAAAAGTATAATACCTCAGAAACTGAGAAGAAAGGTGAATAACATCCTCATCAATTAAAAAATACATACGAAGCACGAGCCCATGAATTCAACAATAACAGAACATCTTAACACCCTACGACAAAAGCTTTTGGCGTTAAATAAAACGCCTTCGACGCTGCATGGAAGGTACCCTCACGAGCTGAGTAAACCAGAAGTCGACATCTCTGCGTCGCACGCATGGCTCCAGCACGGGGATCTCTTTCGCGGAGACAGAGCCTTCATGATAGCTATCCAGGACCAAGTGGTGTTAACATTGAACTACAGGAAAACACATTCTGAATATCTACCATTCATTCCGGACTCGTGTAGAAGATGTGAGGCTGCAAGCGAAACTATCCAACACAACAAGTGGATGTAGCAGCCACGCACAGTTGGAATACAAAGAGCATGGTGAAGTGGCGAAGCAACCCACCAATTATGGCATTGAAAATGGCTAACTCGCCACTTCCGTGTCGTATTATAAATATGTGCCTCAGAATGTGCTTGAAAGTAGTGAGCACACACTCCACTGGGATCCGCTCATTATCACTGACAGACATGTCGGCGGCAATAGACCCGATATAACGTACACTGATAGAAACCATCAGCAGGTTTTCCTATTCGATATCTCAATTTACCACAATACCCACAACAAATCAGGAAAATATCAAGAGACGATCCAGAAGTATACCGATCTCGCCATGAAGTCGCAACTCAGTGTGAACTTTAGTAAAAGTGACAACTGTGCCTATAATATATATCAGGCTACAGGAGCGATCCCGAAATGACACTTCTGCACTGGAGTGTCCCTTCACTTGGATGCCAGGATTGTATATTATATGCAAAGTCTGTAATTTTGAATACATGCCGTATTGTCAGAAGCCATCTGAATCTTCGTAAAGCAAACCACACACCTGGTCATCATTCCTGTTGTGTGGTTGACATACCGACCAGTAGAGTACTGGTGAAATAATAATAAATAATAATAATAATAATAATAATAATAATAATAATAATAATAAATAATAATAATAATAATAATAATGTCGGCCCCGTGGCGCAGACAGTTTGCAGCAGCCGTCGTCTGGGCCGAGGAGCTGCAGATTTGAGTCCTGCGTAGACATGGTCGTATTTGTGATTGTCCCTTCACCTATCATCATCCATTCATCTCATAATTCACACTTCAAGGCTTAACAACCTTGTTGTAATCCAAGGATACAGCTGAAAAGCTGATCCTGGAAGAATTACACACGTTAATCGTGTTGCGTGTCAGTAATGGCCTATACGCCAATAATAATAATAATAATAATAATAATAATAATAATAATAATAATAATAATAATAAATATAATAATAATAAAATTTGGACCGAACATTGCAGATACATGATATGTTACTCAACAGTTTGTTGATCAAGGGGTGACAAGATGGAAATATATCATCACCCCACAAATAATTTTCGACCTCAAACACATCATGATGGCATTCGTTTTCAGCAACGGGAATGAATAGTGAGACTAACCAATCATAGAAATTGCTGAAAATATAGCATAACTAAATGACCAGCTAATTTGCTGCTGTGGTCGTTCGTCAATTCCGTTTCACTAAACATTAACAATGTGAAGGATTTGTTTCAAATGCATCACTAATAATCGTA